GGATCTCCATTAGACTCGATAGTTTTCATTAGCATTCTCTTGATAGTTCCGATTGCTCGTTCGACTTGACCGTTGGACTGTGAGTGATACGGGCTTGTCGTGATGTGTTGAATGTCCCACTCTTTGATAAAATTGGCAAATTCTACTGCGTTAAAAGGAGGTCCATTGTCTGAAATTAGTGTGACAGGTATTCCTTGTCGACTAAATATGGATTTCAGCTCATTGATGACTATTTTTGCGTTTGTGCCATTCCTAAGTACTGATAATTCAATAAATTTAGAGAAATAATCTATACAAATAAGATATTTATTTCCCTTTAATTCCATGAAGTCAACACCTACTTTGTTCCATGGTATTGCTTTAATTTCGTGTGGCAATAAAGGTTCCTTTGAGTTGTTATTACTGTATTCCTGACACGCTACACATGTCGTTACAATATTTCGCACGTCATTTGACATACTAGGCCAGAATAATGCATTCTTAGCATAATCAAGGCATTTACGTAGACCAAAATGACCTGTATGAATTTTAGTTAGCATTTTTGACCTAAGAGCTTTTGGAACCACTAAGTTATTTCCTTTGAACACTAGCCCATCAAGTACATTAATTTCCTCTTGAAATTTGTAATATGGTTTAGTCTCTGGGGGAAGATTACTCTTGGCTAGGGGCCAACCTGTTTGACAAAGTTTTACGATGGTTTGCAATTCCTCGTCATTTTGAGTTTCCTTTCGAAAGGACTCTAATGTTTCAGGTGACACTTCTAAACATGACTTGAGTATATTTATGTGTAACGTGATATCTTCTTGTAAATCTACAATGGAGTCTGACAAAGGCGATCTGGATAATGTGTCCGAAATATACATTTCTTTACCAGGTTTGTACATGACATTGAGATCATAGCACTGAATTTTGAGCATAAACCTTTGTAGTCTTTGTGGCACTTTGTGTAATGCTTTTATGAATAAAGGCACTAATGGTTTATGATCCGTATGGACCGTGATTTTGTGACCAAAGATAAATTGGTGGAACTTTAGACAACCGTGAACAATCGCTAGCAGCTCCTTTTCAATTTGAGCATAATTAGTTTGAGCTTCGGTAAGACAGGCTGACGAGTAGGCAATTGGATTTGATCCATGTAGTATAACGGCTCCTACTGCACTTTGTGAAGCGTCACATGACAAAATTAATTCTTTAGTCTGGTCAAAGTAAGTTAGAACTGGGGCTTTTGTAATTAAGGTTTTTAATTTGTTAAATGTAGCTGTATGATTTGTGTCCCAATTCCATATTACATTCTTTTTTAGAAGAATTCTCAACTGCTGTGTTTCTTCAGAAAAATTTTTGATGTATGCTGACAAATATGTAAGCATTCCCAAGAATCTTTGTAGTTCTTGTGAATTTTTTGGTTGACTCATGTCTACAATAGCTTTAATTTTATTCGGATCTGGTGTCATGCCTTCCTTTGAGAACACATGACCCATGTACGTGACTTTATTAAGACAAAACTGAGACTTATTTAAATTAAATTTTAAATTTATTTCCTTAGCGCGCTTAAGCACCTGCTCCAATATCTCATGATGTTTTTCTTTAGTTGGTGCGTGAATTAGCAGATCATCAAAGTAGACTACTGTGTTAGGGATGTCGGCGAACAATTCAGTCATTGTAGAGTGAAAAATCTCTGGCGCTGCTGAAATTCCAAATGGAAGACGTTTAAAACGAAATCTACCGAATGGTGTGATGAACGTACATAATTTTGAAGACTCCTCATCCAAAGCAATGGTCCAGAACCCCCAATTAGCGTCTAGGGTTGAGAAATAATTAGATCCGTTTAACTGAGATCTAATGACATCGATGCTTGGGAAGGGATAGTGCGCACGAAGGATTGCTTTGTTTAAGTTGCGCGGATCTAGGCACACACGAATGCTGCCATTTTTCTTAGATGTGAGGACGATACTGTTAACCCATTGGGTTGGTTCCGAAACGGGACTGATGACATCTAATTCTTGCATTCTGATTAATTCCGTTTTCAGAGACTCGTATAGTTTAAATGGTATTTTACGCAACGGTTCCCTTATAGGTGTCACATTCTTGTTTATTTGTAGACGACACTGACTTTTTATTAGACCTAGACCTTTGAAGACTTCATTATACTGAGTAATTATAGACTGAGTGGACTGGACTTCATATTTGTTAAAAGTTACTTGGTTCACTCTTTTAAGAAGTTTGAGATCGATACATGTTTGTAATCCAAGAATAGGTTTACATCCGACTTTTATGACATGAAATTTAATTATGTGATCACTACTCTGAATATGACAAGTTAAATCGACTTCGCCTGCTAATTCAAGCCTTTCTCCACTTACGGTTCTAACGCTATTATGACTTACATTAATTAAGCCTTTTTGTAAATTAAGGCGACTAAAGTCTGTCAAACTCATGACGTTTGTTTCTGCCCCTGTGTCTAATTGACATAATAGAATAGTACCATTAATAGACACAGGTACTTCCCATTGCGACTTTTTAACAGAACACACATACGAAATTGACCCTATAAATAATTCATCACCTGTATCTACAGTTAGCGACTTGACATTCTTATTTCTAAGACACATTTTAGCATAATGACCAATTTTAAAACAATAGCTACACTTTACCCCATCTGCTGGGCACCTGAATCGATGATGCTGACCACACCTTTGACAGATATTCTTTCGATCTCGGCTTACCGGACTGGGAGACGTTGTTCGTCTAATGGATGGTGTCGTTCGTCTAGTGGATGGACTCGTTGACCTTTGGTGTGCACGATTTTTCCACCTGCGCTGACCCATTTCATTGTGACTTGTGTTGTAATGAACTGCTCCTACGACACTACAGCTAGCGGCTTCGATTTTGGACAATGTGTACGTCTTAGCCAATTCAACAGCCTTGTCGAGTGTGATTGCACCTTCAGATATAATTTTCTGTTTAACTTCTGCGAATCCGGAGTTAAGACCACAAGTAAAGATGTCTTTAACTAGACTTTCGCGCAGCTCCGTAAAATCACACGTTAGACTTAAGTTTGATAATGCTGTAACGAACTCTTCTAACGACTCACCCTCAAGTTGACGTCTCGTGAAAAATTTGTGCCTCTCGATGGAAATGTTTGTTTTTGGAGTGAAGTGTTTCTCGAATTTACTGATTAAGTTGTCATAGGTTACACTATCGATGTTGACATCGAAACTATTGAAGATTTCTAATGCTTCGGGGCCCATGTGGTGCAACAATAAAGCCACCTTGCGACCATTCTCTTCCCGTTCAAGACTTGTCGCTCTCAAATATATCTTGAATTGGGTGAACCACCTCTTCCATTCATAAGACAGATTCTTGCTGGCGATGTTAAGATGTTGGATGGAACATGTAGATCCAGCTACCTTGTTTCTAGGAGTGGTAGCAGCGACGGTAGCAGTTTCGACTACTTGATTTGGCATGACGACGTTTAACGACTACAACTTAAGACAAAGACACTTCTGACACCATGTTAATTATAGGGCGACAATTATAAATAAGGATGACACAGGATTTACTTAAGTAAGTATATTGTAAGTGACGGCTTGCTTACATGTCATGACAATTGTATGTGAAGGTCATTAGTCAACTAGCGCTAACTAATGTATCGTCAATTGTGGCTACAGCCACGTCTAATACTAATTCCGTAACAAAATGTTGCATCAAAATGGCTACTCTTTAGATAAAATAAAGAAGACAATCAAAGGGTGTAATCATGGCCTATGTATCGGTATCTGATTGATGGTTACAGAGGACCAGTCACAAAAAAACAGAAAAAGCTAAGAACACTTCAAATTTAGATATACAGTTTCAATTGATTGACATTTACGAAATCTAACAAAACACTCTTGATAAAGGTAGCAAAGAAACGTCGAGTAACTATTAATAGTCACTTTACACGAGAATAAACCGGAAAATGGATTTTATTAATAAAACTCGATAAGATAACTATCCTTGTCGATAACTATCGATACGTCGAATATTTCTCTCAAATGAGACGTGCAATTACCGCTTAATTACAGCGGTAATTGCATTGTAGAAAGCAAAAGAGCCCTGCGATAATTGCATAGTTAATATGGTAACTCCATTAAAGTTGCAAGAACTGCATTCGGTCATTTTCATATCTTGTTAAAAGAGCCCTCTTGTCTTGTCAGGCTCTTTCGCCAAAATATAAAAGTAAACTCATGCAGTTTTTAGACACGCTTTCAAAAAAATGATCGGTAATATTATATCGATAAGTACCTATATATTAAAAACTATCGCCATAACGAGAACTATCGATATACCGATACTTATCGATATAGCGGCAATTATCGATCTTTCGATAGTTATCGGTGTATCGATAACCATCGATATTTCGATAATTATCGGCATATCTATAAGTAAAATATATCGATAGGTAAGTACCCGATACTTATATCGATAGGTGAAAACAGTTATCGCCCATCCCTAGCGATAACTATCGACATATCGATATATCGATAGTATTCATATATCGATAACTATCGATATATCGATAACCATCGATATTTCGATAATTATCGGCATATCGATAAGTAAAATATATCGATAGGTAAGTACCCGATACTTATCGATAGGTGAAAACAGTTATCGCCCATCCCTACTTATAAGTACGTTTCTTGGGTATCTAGAATTTTGTATACAACAATTACAAATCAAGATAGTGGGTTCATTACAGATTCCTGTATAATAATTAACAAAGGTAAAAAACTTACATTATTCATCTTTCTCGATGGTAGAGACATCTACGTCTTGTAATTTAAACTATTGAAAACAGTCACATATCCTGCCATTTAACCCGCGCTTCTGATAGTTATAAATTCAATGCTATTATGTTTTATGGAACTTCAGTAGATTCCATGGGACTTTCTAATAACGACTCAAAAATGCAATTTATTTCTTATGTGGAACGGTTAAAAATGAATACAACCAACCAATTTGTTTAAACTTATTATTCATTAAAATCACAGTACAGGTTGCAGTACAAAACTAAATGTACAAAAATTGCCTACTAACATACGACTTTGAATAAATTAAAGATCGAATCTTCTGACATTTGAAATAAAATCTACTTCCAAACTTTGATTACTCCATCTCGAGAAGCACTAAGCAAAAAGCATTGCGATGCCTTGCAAAGAGAAATATCACTTATACAATCACGATGTCCGGGAGGAGGAGGTTCCGGTCCGCCTCGAGGTATCTCGTCACCTTTCCCTGCCTTTATTTGACTCGGTTGCGCGACTGCGTATATTACGCTCGTACCGTCAATCAGTCGCCTATCATAGGTCAGGGCGTTACCAATTAGCGGATCGTTAGGAGCGGGAATAGCCAAATAGGATTCGGTGGGACTTTCCAAGTCCCAAAACCGGATTCGTTGATCGGTACCACCTGCCAGAAGAAAGCCGGCGCGGTCAATGCAACCTGCCTGCATTGCGCAAACACTTTGGTTATTTCCCTTTAATAGAATGGTTAAGGTATAGATTAACAAAAATTGCTTATCTTACATGTGCCTTGGAGAAAGGCGGAGAGTTGCTGCCCCACAAAGTAATCTGTCTAAATCCCGTTTCCAAATTCCACATTGATATCTCATTATTTCCCTGAACACTTGAAATTATCCACGATTGTTCGGTTGGATGACTGATCACCTTTCGGATTCGTGCAGCTAAAATCGTAAATGCATCACTTTGTGATAATTTCAAGACGTTTGACACCTGAAGGATGTTCCACTGTTGCTATTGGCAGTTGAAATCGTAAATCCCAAGCTATGTGATAACCACTGCTCGTTCCGATTGTAATCCAATTCTGATGAGAGTCTAAACAAAATGATGTTATGACGCCTTGCTTGAGACCATTTTCTAATCTCCAGGATGTTCCTGACGCGCGCAAATCCCAGCCTACTAACGAGCCATACAAAGTGGCATAAACCAAAACACTCTGGGGACCCGCATCTAAATATTGCACGTCTACGGCACACCCATCTTCGTCTGCATTCAGCTGTCTCGCTTGGACAAGTGTCATCCTGAATGACGTTATTAGTGTATGCCAATCGGCGAACACTATAAACTTACCTGCTACTGGTCGGTTCGACCCTTAAAACTAAAATTGAACCATCATCGGCAGCTGCCGCCAGAGACTGCCCGTTTTCGCACACCGCCATCCCCGAAATGCTCACACCGCCAGGCACCCTGTAACTTTGTTTAGATCTATTTGCGATATTTTTCCCTTCCATTTTCGAACAGTCCCATATTCGAATGAATCCGTCCTTAGAGGAACTGGCGAAAAACGGGGTTTCGGGCAGGGGCGCCAATTTCGTTATTGGACCTCGATGCTCGTGTAGATGGGCGACCAAAGATCCACGCAATCGCCAACCTGGCGGCGGCAGTTGAGGTCGCCATGCCGCTTGTTCCGCCCACTCCTTACTCCTACACAATAAAAGCGTCGAATGAATAGGGTAAAGGAATATAATCGATTTCGGTTCTAGTGCAATATCAAACCACCTAGTCACAATAATTAATAAAGCGCCTAAAAAGCAGTGAACGGTGTCCATGTTATTAAAACATTTTCCTGGCATGTAGTACCTTGTGTTAATATTGACAGGGAAGGAGGGATAACACAATAACCATTACTTAAAACTAAATTTTTACTAAATGGGCCCAAAACTACAAGAAAAAAAAACCTTTACTAAACAATCTTACCGTAAAGCCTCCAAATAATGATCCTGTTGCCTATGCAGTAACTTTCCAAGATCAACGCTACAGTTAGCTGTCCTATCTGTAACACCGAATTCATCAATACGCAAACCTCTTACTACTTACATTGTATGTAAGATCTCTCGTGTACACTCATGTTCACACCATGCTCCACCCCGATGAATGCGCTTTGGCTTTCGGGAGGCGGCGTGGACGGCTGACTGCCTGAAGATTCAGCAGCGCGTGGCAGTATTTCGGCTCCGACCACATTCCACTCTAAATTGGGGTTCGCTTCAATGGGAGACGTGGATGGAAGACGACGAGCTCTACGGTTTTGCAACAAGTCGGCCTTATTCCTCGCGTCACTTAAATGATAAACGTGAGTACGTATGGGGGTGGTGATCTCAATTTTTCCTTCACTTTGTTTATTGTGCTTAGCGTCTGCGCTTGTTTTGTGTTTGTGAATTTTTTTTAAATGATTGCTCATTGTAAGTAAATAGTCTTCGACTGATGGGCACATACCATCTGCTTCCAAGCGCCTAAATAACTAAAACAAAAACATGCCATCTATGTTCTGGAGTTGAACTTACACATACAGTTTTTAACGACTGCCTCATTTCAGTGTAACTCGGAATTCTTCCAGAGCTGGCAATTAATCTAGCATTCTGCCGTTCTCTTAAAGTGTCTAATAACAGCTCAATGTCGGAATATTTAATCACATTATCGTAGACATTTCTGTGAATGGGACTAACAAGTGATTCCAATAGAAGTTCAGGTCTGAAATAGTTGCAATAGTACAATAAGGATTGGACGCGATAGTTTACCGATCTATTTGGATTAGTGGATATCTCATGTAAGGTTGTAAAAGCGGCATTATTTTACATTGGACGTCCAACACAGACAAGGTTTTCGCAGCAGTTGCCGCAAAACCGGCAACGGCCTGACGTACCCACAAACTAGGATGAACTAGAAAACAGGAACATTCAGATACTAGTTCACATAAACCGGGTTTCGTTATTAAACCCAATTCGGTTAAAGCAGACATTGCGTGAATGCTTTTCGTAGTAACAAATTCCGAACAGTCTGTCAAACCCTAGAAAAATGTTCACATAAAAGCTCGACATCTGCGTTCTTTACCTGCAGCAATAGTGGTGTAAGAATAACCGAACAATGCCATCCGATATACGCGGATACGCCAACAATGCAGTCAAAAAAAGATCCTCGCAGCTCCTTGTCTTCCTTGTCATTCAAAAATGTAATCATGTGCGATAAAAGTACATCATTTGCTAAAATTGAATTGTAACTACCTATACCTAAACACAGAGCGGCTCACATTAAAGTAACACTTTTAATTCAGAAAAGCTACTGACCGAACACTGGCAACTACCGAATAAAGATTCTGAATACTTGTACTGAAACATTGTAATCTCAATCAGGAAAGGTTCATCTCACGTGTGGGATGGTTTGAGTGACGTTAAGGGGTCGGGCGACCCTAGTCAGGGAGGTAGTACAAAGGGCCCGAATTTGTGGACCCTGTTCACCCTCCTATCGTAATCCGGAATCCTACCCAGCTAGCAATTTAGGTGTCGGCAACCTGAGGCAAAAGAAATTCGACCAAAGTAGGTGGAAATTATGTAATGTTTATGTTGAATAGGTGAAAGTAAATATGTTACCTATTAAGCACTGGTGACAAATTGGTGAAATAAATTCTTATTAGGATCCAACAAAGTATGGTAGTGGTAAATGGTCATCTAATAGGTGAGGTACGTAAAAAATACCAATTAAGGAGTGGCATATACCTAACTTGTATCACCTAATAGGAGCAGTAGGTAGAAGGACCTTATTTGTGCCAATTTGTAACCTAACTAAAGGGTTGTTACGTAATTGGTAATAGATTCGTTGCATGACTTATTAGGTAACTTTGTTCACGTCATAAATATAAACTAATAGGAGATATAGGCCAAAGTTGACAAAATGACTAAATAGGAATAGATGAAAATTTCATAGACACCTAATAAGCGGATACAGTTACTTACATTTCGACCAATAGGTTGAAATGACTTGAATATATCACCATTAAGATCACCTATTTAGTACCATTTCACCAAAATAAATATATTTCACTCGAGTGTAATAATGGCGCGAAAGTGCTGGTCTGTTTCACCTATAATCTGTTCACCCAACAGATGCAGTTAAGCCACTCCCAATAAATTTTGACCAATGTAATAACAGACCCGTTTCACAGTCACAAAATTATAAAAACCGGGAAATTTAAAATCGCATATCACATTGTACGACGAAGTTATAAAGTGTTATGTTTTGAATATTGACCTTTCAACACACAGCAGTACATAGTTTCAAATTGTTTATTAAGTTCAGAAAGATTATTTTGTTCTTATAAATGAAATTAACCGCAAATTGAGGCAAATACAAAACGAAATGACAGGTTTGACGTTAAGGATGTCAATTCAGATACGGCAATTATAATTGGAAGCAAATCGTTGCGTGTGTTACAGGTTTTGAAAATTCGGCCAATTAAAAATGTTCATTTAAATTTGCCGGGAATTTTTTGGGGGGAGCTTTACTGCATCTGGTGGGTGAACAGATAATAGTAGGTATCAATGTCAACCTAAACAATAGGTAATAGGTTGTGAATCCCTGGTAGTAGGTAACAATCATAAGTTGTGTTGCTAACAGGTGTATTAATCTACCAAAAGAAGTTACATGCGCTCCTAATAGGTGTCGATTTAGTGAACGTAGGTGGAGTTTGGTGTTGGACTTACACTTAATAGGTTGGTTTAGTTAGTTAGGTCGAATTCCCAACATACTTAGTTGCGATTACACGTAGGTATTAGGTGTACTTAAGCGGTATTTACATGAATTTGTTACAATTAGGTGTATAAAAATTGGTAATATTGTACACCAATTAGGTAATAGGTATCAAAAGTAGCTTGTTCTTCACCAACTTGAAATATGAGGTCGAAAATATAGGTGCAAATTAGGGTACTCTACTTATTAGATTAATATAACGAGAAGGCAGACATATTTATTGGCTAGCGTAGACGGCCGAAATATCATCATACATGTTTTTTTAGCATTAATGAATAAATATGTGTTCTACAATTAAAATATGATTATATTTAGGTATTATTAATGATTGTATGTTTGAATAAAATAGTTAAACTTCCAAAAATGTACAACTATAAAAATGACAAACGAATAACTATTTTTTTTATTATTTTTATAATAGTTATTTCAGAGGGGCTTTGTGTTTTTTGAAGGCAGAAGATATATGTTTGTCATAGAAAATGCATTCGCACGAAATATTTCCACATAGAAATCATGAAATTAAACATATTCAATATTTTACATATAATAGGTAATTTGTCTGACATGACGCCAGCCATAAAGTTCATAACAGTATTCTTATTAACTGTAGGTACTATTCTTTAAAAAGAGAGGATAATAATGAAGTATGGTTATAAGTTCAAAACGACATGTAGAAAATAAGTAATCCGCCACGTCGCTTCGACGTAGAAAATTACCTAATAAGGTGTCTAGACACCTAACACCTATTAGTTAAATCACACCTATTTAACTTATTTCTCACATCGAATCGACGTGTCAAAAAACACCACTTAAGTCGATTCGACGTCGAATTTATGTTATACTGCACTTATTGAAATTGGTGTCGTTACTTATTTGAAGTCGAATCGACGTCGAATGACA